ATCCAGCCCCGCTAATTCCCCATCCAGCCCCGTTAATTACCGATCCAACCCCATTAATTAATGAATCCAGCCCGTTAATTGCCCTGCCGGCCGGCTCCCAGGGGCGGCAGTGGCCGCACCCCGCCATCGGGGGGCGCCATCGGGGGCGCCATCGGGGGCGCCCCGCGCGGCGCATGCGCGGCCCGGCGCTGCCCGCCCCGCGGCCCCTCAGCGGCGCCGCCATGTTGGCGGAGCTGAACGAGCTGCTCGGGGCCGCCCCGGAGCGCCCGGACGCGGTGAGAGGGCGCCGAGAAAGGCGCTGAGAAGGCGCTGAGAAGGCGCCGAGAGGGCGGGAGGGACGGGCCGGCAGCGGCCGGGCACGCTGGGAGGGGCACGGCCTTCGCAGGCGGAGGCGGCGGCCGCGGCCGGTCGCAGGGCTGAGCCGCTTTCGGCCCTTCCACCCTCCGTTACCGGCTGCCGCCGCCTCTCACGGCGCTGGCTCCCGCACCCGCCGCATGGAAGCGGCCGAGCTCCGTTCCCGCCGTGTGTCTGTGCTCCCGTGCGGGGAATAAGCACAGAACTGGGCGTTAAACCCGCTGGCGGGCGCTGCTCCGGACCGGGAGCTGATCTAGCGATGTTTGTCATTTAGGGGCACTAAATTAACCGATGTCGCTTTTGCAGGGAGGTTTTGTGATAATGAAGTCACGCAGGAGCTAAACAGCCCCGCTGTCTGTGAGGGCTGCGCAGGTGAAGTGTCAGTCACGGAATCGCAGAGTGGTTTGGGCTGGAAGGAGCCTTGGAGCACATCCAGTCCTGCCTCCTGTCCTGTGCGGGGACGCCTTCCTCCATCCCGGGCTGCTGCAAGCCTCCCCAGCCTGCCCCTGGGCGCTTCAGGGATCCAGGGGCAGCCACAGCTGCTCTGGGAATTCTGTTCTAGGGCTGGTCCACCTTCCCAGCCAGGAATTCCCAATTCCCAATCTTCCACCCATCCCTGCCCTCTGGCAGTGGGAGCCATTCCCTGTGTCCTGTCCCTCCATCCCTTGTCCCCAGTCCCTCTCCAGCTCTCCTGGAGCTCCTTCAGGCCCTGCCAGGGGCTCTGAGCTCTCCCTGGAGCTTCTCCTCTCCAGGTGAACATCCCCAGCTCTCCCAGCCCTGGAGCAGCTTGTCTGTTTTCCATCCCTCAATCCCCCATCCTTTGCTTATTCTGGGGTTTGTCCTGACCCTTGCACTTGGCCTTGTTGAACCTCGTGGCTCCAAGATGCCATGGACCCACTTCTGCATGTCCGCTTCTGCAGGTCCCTCTGGGTGCCCCATCCCGTCCCTCTGGTGTGTGATCACACCAGCAGCTTGCTGTCATCAATTATTAATAAATCATCCATGTGCTGCATGTTACTCCGTGTTTTTCCTGCAGTCACGAGCTTAGATAATAAAAGCAAGCTTGGGGTGATAATTTGTAAGTCTGGGTTTCCCCCTTTGTCTCCAGTTTCCCCCTTGCCCTACTACCAGCTTGTGATGGGAATAGGGGAGGTTTCTCCTTCATCTGGAAGGTCATTCCTTGTCAGGCTGGCTGGAGTGGGGCAGTGCTGGTCTGATGGGCAAGCAGTGCTGAGGGGAATTTGGGATGGTGCCCCTGGGCTCAAAGCAGACCTGGTGGAGGTGTTGGCTGAGGCTCGGTGGTAGTAAAGGACAGTGACTGTGCAGAGTTCCAAAGTGCTGTAGTTCCTGTGGTTGGTGTTGGGTTTTTAATGCATGTGAAGTACTAAGGGAGAAGTGCTCAGTGGAGTTTGTGCTCTAAGGTGTGTTTGCTGGTGGAGCTCTGGGCTGAACAGCAATATGGTCATCCACGAGCTTGGTTCTGAGGCAAGGAGCTCACCTTGGTGTAAGCAGGAAATTCCACAGAGCGAAAGCCCAAGATCTGGCCTCGGGATGCTGCGTTTGGACGTGGCAGCCAGAGCAGGAGCCGACCAAGGCCTGGCTGTGTGAGGAATTCCCCCGGATCGAGCTGGCCTCGGGATGCTGGGTTTGGATTTGGCAGCCAGAGCAGGAGCCGACCAAGGCCTGGCTGTGTGAGGAACTCCCCCGGATCGAGCTGGCCTCGGGATGCTGGGTTTGGACGTGGCAGCCAGAGCAGGAGCTGACCAAGGCCTGGCTGTGTGAGGAACTCCCCCAGATCGAGCTGGCCTCGGGATGCTGGGTTTGGATTTGGCAGCCAGAGCAGGAGCTGACCAAGGCCTGGCTGTATGAGGAACTCCCCCGGATCGAGCTGGCCCTTCCCATCCCGGCTCACACTGCGGGTTCCGCTCCGTCCGGCGTCACAGCAGCGTGGCCCGAGTGGGGGACTGCCCTCTGCGATACTCGTGGTGCTGACTCTGGTTTACTCGGTAGTGAACCATGAGCAGGTGTGTGTGCAAGTCCTGCTCAGCGATGCCTGTGCAGCGCCAGGCCCTGGAGCGCGCTGGGATCCCCACCTGGCCCCCGGCCCTGCTGTCACCGTCCCGGCCCTTTGCAGACCTGCCTTTGCCCTCCCGATCCCGCAGCCCCACGGTGGCCCTGCCGCTCCCCGAGCTGACAGGCGCTGTCCCCGCGGGGCTGCCAGGAGCCGGTGCGGCTCTGGGTGTGGCTGCTGTGTCACCCTGGCGTTGTGACACCAGGTCCTAACAAGTAGCTGCAGCTTCTGCCTCGCAGCCTGCAGGTGTTGAGCGTGTGAGGGCAGAGCACGGACAGACGGGCTGGGCTTCACGGAGGAGAAGCTGCAGGAGGGCTTTGCCTTTGGAAGGGCAGGAGTGACAAATCCCACCGTGCCAGCGCAGCCTCCGGGAGCCGGCTGGCAGGGAGGGCAGCGCTCGGCCTGCTCTTCCCGGGCTCTGGTGGGGAGGAGTTGCAGAGGATAAAGCCCTGAACGTCTGGGTTTGTGCTGTTTGAGCACAAATCTCCTCCATGGAGGGCATGTCTTGGGGTAGTGTCCCTGTCACTGCAGTGGCCATTGAGGCATAAGCCTTTTTTGGGGAGAAGAGCCCTCACTCTGGCTGAGGGATAGCAGCTTCCCTGCCCTGGCCTCTGCTTTGCATTCCCTGCAGTCACGTTCCGTGTTTGCCGTTGCATTCACTCTGCTTCAGGCTTTAGGCACCGGGGAGTTTGTTCTGCTGGCTGGCTTGGGAATTGCCTCTGCAGAGAGGGCTTGTTGCTGTGAAAGGCTTTTTTGTGTTCTGGGAGTAGAAAAACCTCCCACTTTGATAAGTTCTTTGTGTTTCCAAGCAGCTCATCTATGATTTATATTGATTAAAGAAACATCCTGACTAAGATTTTCATGGAAACAAACACCTTGATGAGGCTGGGGCTGATAATGAGTGTGCACTAATGAACAGAATTAATTTTCTGCCTGATCAAAACAAGGTTTATACCTTGTGCTACAGAATTTAGGTGATAAGATTTTCTACCCCGAAGGTGGCACACTGGAAGTAAACCTGGAAGGGAGGCCAGGGAGGGCTGTTTGGGCACAGGAGGAGCAGCAGCCCTAGGGGTGCTGACATTTGAAACACACTGGCAGTGCTGGCTGTGGCAGGGGGAGAATGGGCTGGGAACGGAGGGAGCAAGTGGCTGTTGTTCCCCTGCCACTGGCAGAAGAAAGATGCCTGTGGATTGGAGGAGAGGACACAAAGCTGGGAGGTGGAATTTGCCCAGAGCCCCCTTGATGGTGTCCAGCACCAGAGGCTCCGGCTGTGGTGGCACTGGGGACACCGTGCTGCACGTCCCTTGTTGCCAGGGGAGGGGGTGGCACCTGCTGGGCACAGAGCTGGGCATCCAGCTGGCCTTGCAGTTGAGCACAAGGGTTTTTAGCTGGTGGGCATGTGGGGACGTGGTTCAGTGGTGAGCTCGGCAGTGCTAGGTCAGTGGTTGAGCTGGATTAATGGCTGGGCTTGATGGGCTCACAGGGCTTTTGTAGCCCTAGGGATGCTGTGGTTCAGATGCCTCCCCGTGGGCTGTGTCTGGAGGAAGTGCTGGCTTCCCTTTGTAAACAGGCAGCTGGAGCTCTGTTTGTCCACTTCTTCCTCTGAGTAGCACCTGCAGAATTCCTGCAGCTTGAGCCAACATCTTGTCTACCAAGAGCAGTTGGTGCCTTCACCTTACTCTGTTATTTTGCTTCTTGTCTTCCAGGGTAAATTCACACTGCTGCGAGACACCCGGACAGATGGCAGCTTCCTGGTGCACCACTTCCTCTCCTTCTACCTCAGAGGTGGGTCAGCAGCAGCACTCCCTGGGGCAGGGACACCTCAGGGCTTCCCTCCATGAGCAAAGGGCAGTTCTGCAGAGTGTGAGTTATCCTTGGATAAACACAAGGCTTTGAGGTTAGGATTAATGGATCCCGGTCCTGACTTGTTCCTGGGACTCCTCTGTATCCTTGGGTACATCCCATAATTCTGTGCCATGTTTCATCATAGATTGTGGGGATGGTTGTAAATCACACAGGCTCTGACAGGAAGGTGTTCACTGCAATTCCCTCACTGCGGCCATTTTATGATGTAATTACACATCTCAGGACCAATTAGCAACAGATAAGCTCAGAGTGAGTCAAGAAACAAACAGAGCCTGGCAAGGTGGCTGATTACTTTTCTGGGAGCAGTTTCCCCTGTGAGTAACCTCCTGGCCCCTGCAGGGCAAGCGCTGGACTCAGGGACTCCTCCAGCTTTCTGCTGGCACAGCCACCAGCCCAGCAACCTGAAAGGGAGCTCAGAGTGCTGGGCAGGCCATGGGATGAGGACACTGTGCCCCCAGAGCTGCCACTGCCTCAAATGGGGCTTCACCCTGCTTTGAAATAGTTTTTACTTAATGGAACAGAGGGAAACGAAAGGAAATCCCATGGAAAGTGGGTTGGTAACAGTGTGAATTGTTCAAAGAGACACTGCCTCAGGCTCTGCGGATGTCCTGCCCCACAGCAGCGCCCTGGGGGTTGGCACTGCCCCACAGCAGTGTCCTGGGCATTGGTGGTGCCCCACAGCAGTGTCCTGGGGGTTGGCACTGCCCCACAGCAGTGTCCTGGGGGTTGGCACTGCCCCACAGCAGTGTCCTGGGCATTGGTGGTGCCCCACAGCAGTGCCCTGGGAGCTGCTTTCCAGAGCTGCCTGTGTGCCTGGGAGAAGCCTTCCATCCCTGGTGGGTGGGCAGCCCTGTGGGACATGAATGTGTCTCAGGACAGGTGTGCTGGCTGTCACCTGCCCCTCTCCAGCCCAGGACCTGGGTGCAGTTATTCCCTGTTTGCAGCACCCCCGTGTTGTCCATGTGGTGCCCAAAAGCTTTGGGACATCTGAAGGTTCATCTGGGGCCATTGATTTGTTCTACTTGAAATCCACGTCCAACAAACATGGTTATGTTCATACCCAAACTGTGTTCCAAAATCACTTTTTATTTAGGTCTCTGACACAATTCCCTGTTCTGTGTTTTTCCAGTCAAGGTCATTTGCCCTGTGAGAGCCAAAATGGGAATTTTTGGTATGTCTGTGGTTTCACTAGTTCAGTGTCACAGCTGGCCCTTGGCCTCCTTACTGTAACACCAGCAAACAGGATCAGGAGATGCCAGGCTGGCCTGGCACAAGACAGAAAAGGAGCCTTATACTTTTTAAAGTCAACTCTTTCCTTCTTTCCCTCTCTTTTTAAATAACACTTTCACTAATTCAGATATCCTTTAGAGGGGTAAGAACTGAAAGCAAAGAAGGGTTTGTGTAGACCTGCATCACTTCAAGATCTTTCCAGACAGCTCTGTGGCCTGGCTGCTGTGATTTATGAGCTCTGATAATGTCAGCTGCAAAGTGGAACTGCTAATGTGTGCTTTTGTCCCTCCCCAGCTGGCTGCAAGGTTTGCTTTGTGGCCCTGCTCCAGTCCTTCAGCCACTACAACATCGTGGCGCAGAAGCTGGTGAGTCTCTTGGCAGAGGTTCATTATTACGGGTCCAGGTGGTTTCTGTTGGGTGGGAAAGAATGGGAATGGGGAGCAGGAATTGTGCGTGAGCAAATGTTTCCAGGTCTTGGTGGGGACGGTCAGGATTGGTGCTCCTGTGATGGGGATAAAGAGCATTTTGGGGCAAAAACCTGGCTGTGAGGAGCCCCACAGGCTCTGCCCTGCCAAGAGCTGGATTGCTGCTTGCCTTGTGCTCAGAAGTGTTTTCTGGGGATCAGTGTTCCCCAGACAGAAACAGACTGGTAGGTGGAGGTTCCTTAATCCCCTGGAGAGGAAAATGCTGTGGTGTCAGTGTTCCCAGGACCCCTGCAGCCCTGCTCCTGAGGTGGCTTTGTCCCCTGTCCCCTGGCTCCTGTTGGGATGGAGGGCTGAGTCCCAAGGACACCTGTGTGCCTCCTTTGGCCTCTGGACTGAGCCATCCTTTTAGCTCTGTGAGGAGCCACAGGTAAGTTCCTGGGGATTTCCTTCCCACGGTGAGTTGGACAAGGATTATGTGTACTCTGAAATGAGGAAACAGAGACAAAGCAGGCAGGGTAATTCTGCATGTCAGCATATTGTCTGAGCTCCAAATTGCTTCGCTCAGCTCTTTGTACAACTCTGCAAGGTGAAATGCTCCAGGTGGGAAGTGCAGGTGACCTTCCAGGGCTGAAGGGATGAGGGCTTGCAGTGCTCCTCCCTCCTCTGGTTCTGATAAGAATCCAGCAGCACTGCTGCTCATAAAGACTCCCAGGTGTTGAGGAACCAGGTATTGTATTCCCCACTGTAAACATGGTGCTGCTAAACAACTGTATTTTATTTTCTGCTCAGTTTTTACCTTTTGAAAGGAGATCAGTGGCCCGGGGTACATACAGTGGGCTGAGCAAATAAAGTGTTTACCCAGGGAGCTGTAGCTCAAGGTGTTATCCCCCTGCAGAGCAGATCACCCCCCAGGAGCACAGAGCTGTCCTGGCCTTTGTGGTGCAGAGAGGAGGAAATCGTGGAGGGAACTTGCTGAGTGGGGCAGGAAATGGGGCACAGCAACCGGTGTGGGGAGGAAGGGCAGCTGTTAAATACGGGATCCTTGCCTGCTCCTCGAGCCGGCGTGTTTCCTAATGCCAGATTTCCCGGTGTTCGCTTAAGGGGAGCTGCTGACATCTCCCTGCCTGGGAGGCTGAGGAGGCAGAGGGCACGAGGATTAGCTGGAGCCACGTGCGATGCAAATGGGGGCGATCTGCTGTCTGATACTTGAACAAAAGGTGGCTGCCACAAAGGAGGTGATAAGTATGGCTCAGAGAAGCGCTGAGCTGCTTTCAGCTCTGAGTCACTCTTGCATTGCAGCTTCTTAGGTGCCCCTGTGGTCCTTGCTGTGAATTCTTCTCAAGCTCTGAGGAGCTGGAGGTTGCAACATCAGTTATTTATATCCAACTTTCCATCACATCTCTTTGCTTTAATCCTTTGCGCAGAAGAATACGTCAGGCTCAGAAAAGGTGGGTTTTGGCTGGGTAGTTTTCACTCTTAAATTTGCTTAAGAACTTGCTGCTGTAGGTCTTTACTGGAGAGCAGTAATGGTGTGGCCACAGGCTCAGGGCAGTGTCCATCCCCTGTGCTGGCACTGCTGAGACACCTCCAGTCCTGGGGGCAATTTTGTGGTCCCCAGGAACAGGACAGAGTGTGTCCAGGGAAGGGAATGGAGCCCCAGGAGGGGCTGAGGGAGCTGGAAAGGGGCTCAGCCTGGAGAAGAAGAGGCTCACGGGGGACCTTGTGGCTTTGCACAACTCCTGACAGGAGGGGACAGCCAGGTGAGCTCAGGCTCTGCTCCCAGGGAGCAGGGACCTCAAGGGTTGCCAGGGGAAGTTCAGGTTGGATATTGGGAAAATTCCTTCCCCAAAAGGATTGTCCAGCCCTAGAACAGCTGCCCAGGGCCATGGTGGAGTCCCCATTGGTGAAGGGATTTAAAATCCCTGTGGAGGTGGCACTTGGAGACCTGGGATAGTGGTGGCCTTGGCAGTGCTGGGGAAATGGCTGGACTGGATGGACTCAGAGGACTTTTCCAGCCTCAGTGATCCTGCAACTGTGATTATGCCTGCACTTGGAAGAGCTTCAGAACTGAGCAATGCCCCAGTTTCTGTTGGGAGCAGGGCAGTCCCAGGCCCAGGAGGAGGCTCCTGGAGTCAGGGTGGATTGTGCAGTTACACTTGTAGCACTGGTGTGTGGTGATAAAGTGAGTATTTATACACAGCTGAAGTGATGTTTCCAGGGACTTGCTGCTTTCTCAGTGTACCAGGTGTTACAAGTCCCAAACCACTTCCTTATGTGTTAGCTAAATGCAGGGATGTATCTTTACTTGCAGGAAAAAAAACTTCCCTGGCTGTTTTTGTGCCTGTGTCCCCTTTCCCTGAGGACCCACACTTCATGTTAAGGCACTGTCAATGTTATTGGCCCTGACCTTGCAGAGAACATGCAGGGCTATATCAGGACAAACAGCAGCAGGGCACCCTGCCAGGTTGGTGTTCCCACCCTCACTTGTACAAAGTTTGTTTTGTTTTACAGAGAAACCAGATTTGTCCCCATTTGGTGCCCATCTCCTGTCCCCTGCTCTGAGCTCACAGCTTGGAGGACGTGGTGTGGCCTGATTAGTGATGGCCACACTTTGTCCCACAGCTGTGTTTGCTGATGAGCTCATTCCCCTGCTTTGCTCACCATCCTTCTGTCCCTCAGATATTTTGCTTTCCCGTAGGGAGCTTTGAGGGGTGGCACTGCTGGCAGGCCGGGGGGCACCACGCCCCAGCAGCTCCCCAGAGGGACAGGAGCAGCTGAGCTGCTGCTGCAGGAGCACTCCTGGGCTGGGTCGATGGCTGACAGCATGCCAGAGATAATGTCCTGTGCTCCAGGCTAATGGAGCGGGATGCTGGCTCACAGTGAAAGCTTTCAGGCTGTTTGGGTGCTGGGCAGTGCCCTGGTTCTGCTGTGGGGATATCAGTCCTGTCTGTACACTCAGAAAGCTGTCACTGGCCATTTTCAGCACTTATCCCACTTTTCCAAGCTGTCTGATGCTTCCTGTGCTGCTTCCACAGGTCCCACTTGGTGGGCTGCCAGCAGGGAGACAGGCAGAGGTTTGCTGTGACAGATGACTGCAGTGGATGAGTTTAGGCTTCTCTGGGACCTGTTCCCCTGCTGGAAAATGAAGCTGGACTTGCTGAGTTCATGCCATGGCACTGAGGGGCTGAATTCTTGGTCTGGCACACAGGCACCCTGTCCCTGGCTGCTGTGGCCCGTCTCTGTCTCTGTCTCTGGCTGTCACAGCACTGAGTTCCTTTTGGAAGGAGGGGACACTTGCAGATCTGAGAGTTTGTGTATGCAGGAAGGAATGGCTGAAGCAAAGGTAAAATCAGTTGCTGAATGATTGATATTAATAGTGAATTTAGTCACAACATTTCTGCAAGTTCCCAGTGCTATGGACTGCAGAAATCCTTGAGGGATTGACGTTGTGAGGCTTCTGTGCAGCCCAGCCCTTCTTTATGGCATGGCAGGTATTTATTTGCTGGCTGTTCCCTGCTCCTCACCTGCCACATGAAGGTGGTTCTGTCCTTGGCTAGGAAGTTTTCCATGGTGTGTGCTCAGAATTGCCCAATAATGCTGCTATTTCTGAAGCTGTTACTGAGGGGTAGTGCCCAAAAAATCTATTGCTTTACAGGGGGAGTCTGAAGAGGGAGTGAGCATTCAGGCATACGTTCCTTCCCAGCTGAGCAGAAGGAAAATAGAGGAAGCATTCTTCTCAGGCAGCAGGATTCCCAGGCTCGGGAGTTCAAGCAGCTTCCATTTAAAGAAGGGAACAGATGCCAGCAGATGGGAGTTTGGTCAGACCTCAGATTATTATTAATATCTGTGTTACAAAGTGATAGTGCTGCAAAATTGAGCCTAGGAAGATAATCATGGAATAGTTTGGGTTGGAAGACACCTGAAAAGGTCACCTAGTCCAATCCTGCAGGAGATAATTGTACTGCACATGGTCATGGAATCATTGAGGTTGGCAAGCCCTCAAGGATCCTTGCATCCACCTGTCCCCCAGCACTGTTAAGGCCACCACTAACCCAAGTGCCACATCCACAAGGCTTTTAAATCCCCCCAGGGATGGTGACTCCTGCACTGCCCTAGG